TCGCCCATGCTCAAACTCAGACCCACTCGGAGACTACCTCGCACCTAGGCTCACTCAAACTCAGACTGGTATTCATCACGTTCAAACTCAGACTCACCCACTCTCCGATTCACTCACACTCAGACCCAGTAGCACTCAGACCCGCTCGCATTTAGACTCACTCATGCTCAGACCCACTCGTTCTCACACTGACTATATTCACGCTCAGGCTCGATCGTGCCCGGATCCTATACACTCCGACTCGCTCACGCTCAGATCACCCACGCTCATATTCACTCGCTCCAAGGCCCGACACACACATGGTTACCATTATATATATATATATATACAAGACTGCAGTGGCACTTCGCGCCATGCACCTTGGTCCTTGAAGTTTGGTATGCAGGCGGACTAGCGGGAAGATCAAGCCGACAATTTAGCGATACCTCCTTTTCCGGCATCGCCGCTGTAATAATCATGTTATTCGTTATCCTTCCTCCGTGCTTCTTATTCCTAATTTTCGCCATGCCCTGCGCACTCCCCCCATCCTCCTCAGCTCTTTTTGCGGAGGCTCCTCCTTGGAGAGCCTCTGGCTGGGGGCCTCATGGGCGTGTTCTGGAGGCTTTCTTAAGGCCTTCTGAAGGCCTCCTGGGCGTGTTCTAGGGGTTTCTGGGGGTTTGTCGGGCCACCCTGCCTCCAACTGCGGTCTCCCTGAACGACCGGGTCACGATTTGGAATGCTTCGGAAGGTGTCTTAGGGCCATCTTGGGCCGCCATTGGGCTCCCTGAGGGCCATCTTGGACCCCTGTTGTGCCGTTTTGGGGCTCTCTTGGACTGGTTGCCCACTTTTTCCCGGCAATCTGGGCTTTTTCCCGGCAAACTGGACTTTTCCCCGGCGCTCCGCCGGGAAAGAGTCCAGTTTGCTTAGTTTTTGTATGGAAGCTTGAAGCATGGATTTCCGAAAATCCCACTATCACCTTAAGGGTCTCCAACTCCCGCTGCGCAGATCCTAGCCGGGAAAGAGTCCAGTGGTTGACTTGTGTCGTGCGGCCTTCGCCGTAGCACTACTCCTCGCAGTGTTTGTAATAGTAAATAGTAGTAGTAGTAGTAGTAGTAGTAGTAGTAGTAGTAGTAGTAGTAGTAGTCGTAGTAGTAGTAGTAGTAGTAGTAGTAGTAGTAGTAGTAGTAGTAGTAGTAGTAGTAGTAGTAATAGTAATAGTAGTATAGTAGTAGTAGTAGTAGTAGTAGTAGTAGTAGTAGTAGTAGTAGTAGTAGTAGTAGTAGTAGTAGTAGTAGTAGTTGTTGTTGTAGTAGTAGTAGTAGTAGCAGTAGTAGTAGTAGTAGGGTTAGTGGATTAGTACTACTAGGAGTGATTGTATTAAGGATAGTGAGATTACGAATAGTAGTTGTAGTAGTGGAAAGATTAGTGGTAGTAAAAGCAGAAGTATTCGTAAGCGATGTCAAAAACCGTCCAGGTAGACGTACTACTGGTTATCCGCCACCGTGCCTCTGGGCACGGAGTGGGCGTTTCCTGAGGTCCTCTGCCTCGTCCCCTGAGCCTGAGTCCTCGCTCCTGAGGAATCATTAAGGGCACCAGAGCCCAAATTGCAAAATCTCCCGGGCCTTGTCGCGGTTCCCTTGGGCCTTGTCGCAGCTGCCTTGGGCCTTGTCGCAGCTGGCCGCGTGACTTTTTCGGGCCCACGAAGGCCCCAAGACGTGCCAAGAGGGCCCCAAGAGGCATCCAAGACGGCCCAAGAGGGGCCCGAGACGCCCAAAGAGCGCTCCAAGACGCCCAAGATGGCCCCAAGACGGGCCAAGAGGCCTCCAAGACGGCCCAAGAGGCCCCCAAGAGGCCTCCCAAGAGGGCCCCAAGAGGCTAACATTGTTGATTTCCCATTGTGGTTTTCGATGTTTTTTGCTTTCTCGCCTTTTCGGCTTCCCGACGCTCTGAGACGGCCCAAGAGGCCCCCAAGACGGCCCCAAGAGGGCCCAAGAGAACCCCAAGACGGCCCCAAGACGGCCCAAGACGGCCCCAAGACGGCCCAAGAGGGCTCCAAGACGGCCCAAGAGGGCTCCAAGACGGCACCAAGAGGGGTCCAAGAGGGCGACAAAAAATTCAAAAAATCAAACTTTCCGCCCCCAGGAGCCCCAGGGGGGCCCAAGAGTGCCCCAAGAGGCCCCCAGAGGCCCCCAAGAGGCCCCCAAGAGGCCCCCAAGAAGCCCCAAGCAGCCCCCAAGAAGCCCCCATGAGGCCCCCAAAAGACTCCCAGAGGCCCTAAAACGGCCCCCAAGAGGCTTCAAAACTGCCTCCCAAAGACCCCGAAAGGCGTAACACGAGATCCCGACACACATACATTGGGTACCACTTGAGGCATATTGCCGACATGCCTCAAGTGATACCTGATCGGTACTGCTTGAGGCATACAACGGACATGCCTCAAGACGTATTTCTTCGGTACCACTTGAGGCATGCTGCCGACATGCCTCGAGTGGTCCAGAATTTGAGATTCTCGCGCTTTCGGTTCCCCACCGCTCCACGACGGCACCATAGCCTCCAACAACGTCCAATGTCCACGAATCCAGGCACGGTGGCGGGATGGGCCGAAGGCCACTAGATAGTAGTAGCACCGTGATTCTTTCCCCAACCATCCTGTGGTGTTGGGGCCTCGCTTTGAAGAAACAGCGCCCCGCGTCACCTCACTCACTCACTTCCGTTGCCCTCCTCCCTCCTCCCATCATCGTCATCATCATTATCATCGTCATCACCGTCATCATCATTTTCATCATCGTTATCCTCATCCTCATCCTCATCCTCATCATCATCATCTTCGCCGTCATCATCACCGTCGGCAGCGGTAGTCGCACAGTATCGGAAGCAGTATCGGGAGCAGCAGTCGCACATCCAATCATAGCAGTCTGAGGTGTACATACATGGACAGCATTGGTAGTACCACTAATAACATCAATACTAGTGGCCTCCAAGACGTCCTCAGCACGGCCCAAAAGGCCTCATCGGCGACCCAGGACGGCCCCAAGAGTGCCCCAAGCTGGCCCAAGGCGGCCCCAAGAGAGCCTCAAGCGGGCCCAAAAGGGCGTCCGGAAGGACCCAAGACGGCCTCAAAGGCTCCTCGATGGCTCAAGACGGCACCACGAGACCCTCCAGACGGCCAGGAAGGCCCGAAGGCAGCCACAGAAAACCGCAAGGGCGCCCTTCCTCATCCCCATCGGCCATCATCACCATCGTCGTCGTCGTTGTCGTCGTCGTCATCATCATCATCATCATCATCATCATCATCGTCATCGTCATCGTCATCGTCATCGTCATCATCATCATCATCATCATCATCGTCATCGTCATCGTCATCGTCATCGTCATCGTCATCGTCATCGTCATCGTCATGTCATCATCATCATCATCATCATCATCGTCATCGTCATCGTCATCGTCATCGTCATCGTCATCGTCATCGTCATCGTCATCGTCATCAACATCATCAACATCATCATCAACAACATCATCAACATCATCGTCGTCGTCAGCAAGACAGCCTCAGGAGGCCCCAAGCGGCTCCTCAGGAGACCGCAAGACAGCCCCAGGAGGCCCCAAGCGGCTCCTCAGGAGACCGCAAGACAGCCTCAGGGGGCCCCAAGCGGCTCCTCAGGAGGCCCCAAGAAGGCCTCAGGGGGCCCCAAGCGGCTCCTCAGGAGGCCCCAAGATGGCCTCAGGAGGCCCCAAGCGGCTGGCCTCAGGAGGCCCCAAGAAGGCCTCAGGGGGCCCCAAGGCGGCTCCTCAGGAGGCCCCAAGATGGCCTCAGGAGGCCCCAAGGGGGCCTCAGGAGGCCCCAAGATGGCCTCAGGAGGCCCCAAGATGGCCTCAGGAGGCCCCAAGGGGGCCTAAGGAGGCCCCAAGATGGCCTCAGGAGGCCCCAAGGGGGCCTAAGGAGGCCCCAAGGCGGCCGCGTCGGAGGTTCCAGGGTCCGTCGTCGGAGGGAACTCTGTAAAGCTTTTCAAAAGCTTTGAATGTTTCTGAAACGGATCGCCGGGGAACAGTCCAGTTTGCCGGGAAAAAGTCGAGTTTGCCGGGAAAAAGAGTTTTTCCCTCTTGGACTGCCTGGAAGCCCTTTCGGATGGTTGTGGGGCGATTTTGGAGCCTCCCGGGGGGCTTCGGACGCCCAGAAGACCGCCGTCTTGGAGCGTCGGGAAGCCGAAAAGAGGAGAACCCCAAAATAAGCCATAAACCGACAAAATCAAGGATTTTCGCCTCTTGGGGCCTTCTTGGGAGTACTCTTGGAGGCCTCTTGGGACGTTTCGGGACGATCTTTGGGGGTATGACGGCTTCTTGGGGGTCGTCGTCGATCGTATTGGGGCTCTCTGGGGTCGTTTCGGGAGCGCGCCACGTCCTGCGAGGCCCTGGGGGCCGCTTCGAGGCCAGTCCGCAGGGTCCCAGATCCCGGGAGTCCGTTTTTTTTTTGGGGGGGGGGGGTGATGGGTTTCCCCCCCGCCTGGGCTTGTAAAAATATAGAAGAAATCTATATATTTTATATATATATATATATGTATGTATTGTGTATATCTATATATATATGTATATCTATGTATGTATATATATATATATATAATATATATATATAGATAATATATATATATATATATATATAGCCAGCGTGGCACTTGGGCACCCCAAGTGCATGCACGCGCCACAAATAGCACGCCAGAGAGCGGGCGCAGCAACGCCATGCGCGCTTGCCTGAGTTGCCGCTGGGAGAAGGGCAAGAGAACTCCCCCTCGTTCTTTCACTTGCGTTTCCCTCGTCCCCCCTGAAAGATGGCCAGAGGGATAGCAGGACGTCGCTGAAGTCGTCGTTGTCGTCGTCGTCGTCGTCGTCGTCATTGCCGCGCCTGTCGCTACGTGGATTCGCTCTCACACCCAGACACTCATGGACTTAGCTCCTCAGCGAAATTTGACAGGAGTATGGGATGCAAATATGGTGATCTCCGCGTCGAGTCATTTGGATATCCCAAGGAGGTGGCCACCAGCGCCGGGCAGAGCTCAACCTCCCTGGCGTCGTCAGCCAGCACCGAGATGCTGGTCTGCTCGGACGCCTCGGAGGCGAACGGGCAGTCTGGGGAGTTCGCCACGGTTCCGTGCGTCAAGAACACGTTCTTGGAGCTCGTCTCAAGGGAGACCGCGCCGAGCGAGGCGTACCGATCCCAGAGCTGCCCCGCCATATTCTGTAGGGGCACGGCTCAGGACTGGGGAGCAGGAGGAGGAGGAGGAGGACGAGGAAGAGGAAGAGGAGGAGGAGGAGGAGGAGGAGGATGAAGAGGAGGAGGAGGAGGAGGAGGAGGAGGAGGAGGAGGAGGAGGAGGAGGAGAGGAGGAGGGAAGGAGGGAGTGAGTGAGGGAGGGAGGGGGAGGGGGGAGGAGGGAGGGAGGGAGGGAGGGGAGGAGGAGGAGAGGAGGAGGAGGAGGAGGAGGAGGAGGGAGGAGGAGGAGAGAGGAGGAGGAGGAGGAGGAGGGAGGAGGAGGAGGAGGAGGGAGGAGGAGGAGGAGGAGGAGGAGGAGGAGGACCAGAGTAAAGCCAGGATGCGTCAACGATGTGGCAATATTTACGAGCAACCTCCCGTCCCAAGTCCCCTCGCGAGTCCCCGCGAGCATTCCTGCACATTGCGAGAGGTGCCCCGTGCCCCCTTGACAGGCAAGCGCTCCACGGGATTGGCATTCGGTCGAGACCCCCCATTTTGAACAGTATCGTTTTTCATTTTCCCAGCTTGAAAGTCATATGAACCCGTCGCGACCCCAATTAGGGGAAAGCCGGTTGCTAGGCGCATCGCTTGGCATTGCTTGGCATGGGCTGTCATTATTTGGTCGCAACGTTTGGCAGTGCTTGGCATGGGTTGGCATCGCTTGGCATTGCATGGCATTGCTTGGCATTGCATGGGTTGGCAGTGCTTAGTATTGCTTGGCATCGCTTGGCATTGCTTAGCATGGGTTGGCATTGCTTGGCATTGCTTGGCATCGCTTGGCGTTGCTTGGCACGGGTTGACATTGCTCGGCATTGTTTGGCATTGCCGAGGAATCTGGGGAACCCGAGGAACCCAGGGAACTCGAGGAACCTTAAGAAACCAGGGAACCCGAGGAACCCAGGAAACCCGAGGAACCTGGGGAACCCAGGGAACCCGAGGAACCCGGGGAACCTGAGGAACCCGAGGAACCACGGGAATCCGAGGAACCTGGGGAACCCAAGGAACCCGAGGAAGCTGGGGAACCCGAGGAGCCCAGGGAACCAGAGGAACCCGAGGAACCTGGGGATCCCGAGGATCCCAGGGAATTTCCAGGGAACGGTCATAGCAGGTTCCCGAGGCACTAACAGTTAACCAAGTAAGAACCCCCCTTTCGGCAAGCCGAATCGGGAAAGGATCGTCAGGGGCAGAACGTTCCGGGAAGTGTCCATCTCGATTTGAGTTTTTGAAGTCCTCCGTCTTCGTACTGTTCCACAACTAGAGTCTTCTGGCCACGGCGTCCGAGGATGTGTCGAGCGAGATCCCTGCTCTGAGCATGAGGCGTCCTTCACACCCGCGTGCCGGAGGAGGAGGAGGAGGAGGAGGAGGAGGAGGAGGAGGAGGGGGAGGAGGAGGGGGAGGAGGAGGAGGGGGAGGAGGAGGAGGAGGAGGAGGAGGAGGAGGAGGGGGAGCGAGGGAGGGGGGAGGGGACCACTGCATAGCTTTGACCTCCTGGCCGTCGGGCGCGAAGAGGTCGCGGGCGAGGGCCCCATTTCTGAGAAGGCCGCTGGGAATTTTGCACCGGGCGAAGAGAACTATGCACATGCAGGAGGGAAAAAAACACAGACACAATTCATCGTCGACTCCCCAGAAAATATAGGAAGATATGGGAAGTGGGGGGGAAGACAGGAACCCAGAAAATATGGGAAAATATGGGGAAGCTTCTTATTTGTGTGTATTTATTTGTGTGTCCCAGGGCCCCTTCATTCTTCCCTGCTTGGCGATCTTTTCGACAGCTTGGCGTGCGCGGTTCACAGCAAAATCATCCTTTTCCTCATCCTTGACCCAGGATCGGTGCATATGCCTTCCTGGCCAAGGTAGGAGGGCGTGTGCACCGATCCTGGGCTCAGGATGGGCCTGGCCAGAATCGGTGTAGGTGGCATAGTTATTTTTCCTCGATTGTGGAGCATATGTGCGCGGTGCTGGGGCGGCGGCCACATTTTGAATACCCTTCGCCCTGCATCCGTGTAAGCATGGGATTTGTAAAAGCGAATGCGCGCGGTGCGAAGTTAGGGGAACAAGAAGTGTCATAAACATAAACACTCGGAGGTCCGCGCGGATTTCTCGGATCGGCGCTGGACCCCCCTCCCTGGCGCGGAGCGCGCCAGGGGCGGCGCCGGAGGCGCCGCCGGGGGGCCCCAGCGCCGATCCGAGAAATCCGCGCGGCCCTCCGAGTTTTTATGTTTATGTCATTTTTTGTTCCCCTATACGATTAGCCCTGCATCCGTGTAAGCATGGGATTTGTAGAAGCGAATGCTCGCGGTGCGAAGTCGATGATTACATTCTGAAGGCCACCAGCCCTTCTCTGAGCGTAGCGATCCAGTTTTTTAGGTCAATGAGCGCAGCGCTAAGGCGAGAACCACACGTCGAAAATGAATCGTCCTCCGTCCATGCACCTGTCGGGAGCCCATAAGACGAATGCGTGCGGCGGGGAGTGCTGAGTCCATAGCCACGTTTTGAACATCACTTGCCCTTGTCCGTGCACGTGATGGATTTTTAAGCTTCAGGCTCATGAGCCGTGTGGCAGTTTCAGGCGAAACGCCCGGCTCGCCCTACAAACGCGTATGGGATGCGTTACTTATAAGGAAGGGAGACGTGGAGGAGGAGGAGGAATACTAGGGAGGAGGAGCAGGAGGAGAAGGAGGTCCAGTGTAAACCCAGACCGCATCAACTATGTTGCAAGACACTCAATCCAAGTTCCATCTTCACAGTTTCTTGAACTAGTTCATTGCTTGGGAGTGCGTCATTCCAAGACAGCCGTCTGATAATCCTCCATCGTGTCAAACTTGAATCCTAGCTCGTGCCTGAACACCATGCCTGGGACTTCAACACCTCAACACCGCGAATCAATCTGAGGGTTGTGCCCTGATAGTCCTAAATCGTGCCAGGACACCATTCCTGGGCGCCCAAGAGGGCCCCAAGAGGGCCCAAGAGGGCCCCAATAGGACCCCCAAGATGGCCCTTCGGCTCTATTCTCGTAACACCAGGGCTCCTCAGCGCGCGGGGACGTCAACAACTCCCCAGAGCGAGCGGTGACGTAAATAGCTCTGAGCACCAAGGCTCCCACGAGCCCATAGTGGCGTGACAAGCTCTTCACACCAAGGCTCCCAAGAGCGAGCGGTGCAGTAAAAAGGTCTGAACACCACGGCTCCCAAGAGCCCTTATTGACGTGACGAGCGCTTAATACTAAGGCTTTCAAGAGCGAGCGGTGATGTTACAAGCTCTGAACACCAAGGCTTCCAACCTCCCATACTGACGTGGCAAGCTCTTAACACCAAGGCTCCCAAGAGCGAGGGGTAACGTCAAAAGCCCTTAGCACCAAGGCTCCCAATAGAGAGCGGTGATGCAAACAACTCTTAACACCAAGGCTCCCAAGAGCGAACGATGCCACGAGCCATCTCGGGCAAGTTTCTGATACGCTCTTTCTGTTACCGTGTCGGCCCAGGTGACGGAAAGAGCGAGGTACGATTGATGACGTTCTTGTGCGGGGGCGAAGAGGGAGTGGTTCCAGGGGAGGGGCGAGGCGCGCAAGGACGGGCTGTAATGTCCGCTCGGGGGCCGCTTCCTTCGCATTACTTCGAGTGAAGCGGCCCCTGGGCGTCTCCTATGGCCCGTTTCCTGGTATTTATGTGAACGAAGCGGCTCAAGGGCCCCAAGACGTCCTTGAGAGGGCCCCAACACGGCCTAAAGACGGCCCCAAGAGAGCCTCAAGCCGGCTCCAGAGGCCCTCCAGAGGGCCCCCGAGAGAGCTTCAGGAGGCCAACAACAAGGTTTTTTTCGTAGGTTTTTGGAGGTGTTTCGGGCCTTTTCGGGCCAAGCAGGGCCCAAGACTGCCCAAGAGGCCCTAAAGATCGTCCCAAGACGGCTCCAGAGACCCCCCAAAGGGGCCGAACATGGTCCAAGAGGGCTTCCAGACGGCCGCAGAGGGCTCCACAAAGGCCCAAGAGGGCCCCAAGACCACCCCAAGAGAGCCCCAAGAGGCTCCCAAGAGGCTCCCAAGAGACTCCCAATGGGGCCCGAAGAGGCGGTGTGGGGTCTGGGCTGCTTGGGTGTGGGGACTGGGCAGGCTCCAAGGCGGCCAAAGATCCCTAAAATAATGGCTCTCGAGAAGGCCCCCGAGAGGGCCTCAGGAGGGCAAACACATTTTCTGATTAGAAAGAAGGTTTTGGGGGTTCTCGCTTCGTCGGGCCCAGTAGGGCCTCAGACGGCCCAAGAGTTCCCAAAGATCGTCCCCAGACGGCCCCAGAGGCCCCAAAAGGGCCCGAAAACGGTCCATCAGGGTCCCCCAGAGGGCCCTACAGCGGTCCCAAGAGGACCCCAGATGGCCCAAGAGGGCCCGAACAGGCGGTGTGGGGAGTGGGCTGCTTGGGTGTGGGACTGGGCTGACCCCAAGACGGTGCAAGAGTCCCAAAACGGTCAAAAAGGGCCGCCAAAAGACTCCCAAGAAGGCCAAGAGACGCCAAGTAACACCATGGCTCCCCACAGCGAGCGGTGACGTAACAAGCTCTGAACACCAAGGCTCCCAAGAGCGACCGGTGACGTAAACAACTCTCAACACCAAGGCTCCCAAGAGCGGGCGGCAACGTAAAAGTCTCTGAACACCAGGGCTCCCAACAGAGAGCGGTAGCGCAACACACACTTAACGCCAAGGCTCCCCAGAGCGAAGGGTGCCACGAGCCTTCTCGGGCAAGTTCCTGCAGCACTCTTTCCATTCCCGTGCCGGCCCAGGTGACGGAAAGAGCGAGGTACGAGTGATGTACGTTTTTTGGTGGGGCGAAGCCCTCTAGGGAGGGGCTCCAGGGAAGGGGCGAGGCGCGCCAACCCGGGCTCTAGTGGCCTTTTGAGGTCCCCGAGGCGCCCAAGACTGCCCAAGAAGCGCTCAAGACGGGCCAAGACACCCTCAAGACGCTCCAGGACGGCCCGAGAGCGCCCAAGACAGCCTAAATTGGCTCCGAGACGGTCCACGAGGCCCCCAGGA